TTTACAATTCGCAAAAGAAAATAAAATGGAAATGTGAGACCTTGGCAAGTCTTTTTAACTTAGGCCATCCACATCCCTTTAACACAAATACCATTCATTCAATCAAAAAGTAACACCCCTCTCATACACATTATCTTTCCACTAAATCTCTCTCCATTTAAACATACACCTACATTCCTACACATTCATTTAAATACATATATGAAACCCATTATCCACTCATTCAATATAAATTTTTATACTCTATTCTCAATAAAAATAAAATTTCATATTATTAAATTATAATAATAATTTAAATGCATGAAAATAAAAGAACACAACAAGACCAAAATAACTTAAATTAAGATTACACAAGAAAAAATATTACAATTACAAAAAATATTTTTTTAGTTGTTGACAAAATGAGTCCAAATATGCTCAACTAAATTGACACGAAGTTGATGATGCATTGTGTTATCTCGTATCTCTGAATTTATCTATATTAGGAAGTGTGATATAGATAAAAAATAGATTAAATATAAAAACAAAAAGAAAAAATAGTGAATAAATAACTTTTTTAAAACAAGAAAAAGAAAGAAAGCATGTGTGGAATAAATAATGATTTTAAAACAGAAAAAAAAAAAAGAAAAAACATGCTGAGGCGTTCAATAAATTGAACGAATAAGTGAGGCCCCTCTTTTAATGGATGAGCCACATCCATGCTTAACAAAGGGAGGCGTTTAAACGGCAAAAAAGAACTCCGCGTTGCGGATGCCCTTAGTTTAGACTAACTTCAACAGCCACTATATCAAACTCCTTAAATTTTAATTTTATAACTCCTTACATTATTTGGCTTTCTTTTTCACTTTTGCTCCAACAAACTCCTTACATTCACCAAACTCTTACTTTCATTCCAAAAGACTGCCTCTATATATAATTTCTTATTTATTTTTATTAAATCCGAACATAATATATTTAATAATGCGTAACGAGATTGTAGACAAATCCTTAATTTTAATAATGCGTCTCACAATATCTACATTTTATGTCTATTTCAAATTCCTCTGGCCCCCCTCTCTTTCTTTAACGAGCAACTTTATTATTTTAGGAAGAGCCCATATTTTTCTCATTTTTCCCATCTTACCTTGATTACATTCACCATAGCCATACTTTATTTAAAAATATATATATATATATAAGAGCCAAAAATGGCTCTCTAAATGTAGAAAGTCCCTCAATAATGTTGGACCTCATCAATTTAGGGAGCAGGCAATAGGGTATAGGGAGAAAAAAGCGAAAAGGGGAAAAAGTCTCTTGGAGAAGGCCTAATTAGCATTGTCACATGAGCTTTAGCCGGTGGCTAGGCTAGCTTTCCCGGAAGTCATTTTGCTCTCTTGCTCGGCCCAAACAAACGGATAAGGCCCAATCCATTGATCCAACCCTTCAGCTTTATCATATTGCGTGACACGTCAGCTGGTGATAGTGACTCAATGCGCGTAATAAATTGGATTTTACACTTCAAATTTGATTAGCCAATAGCCGGTGCCTATATTTGTAATTCATTCCAAGATTCTAGAAGAAAAACGGTGTTCATAATCAGATCAAACGGGTAAATTTTCTGTNATTATAAAATATCATGACGATTTACTGTTTTTATGTTTAACCAAGTGATTCGTTCCACTTTTCGATCCGATTTTTTATTTTTATTTTTATATATTTTGTGGCGCTATGGCATATATTTGCTTCAGAGTTGCTTCCTTTTGGTGATTCATAGGATCCTGAAGATTACATCCTCGGAAAAAAAAGGAAATGGAAAAATTAAGAAACGAAAGAGTTGGAAGTATTTACCTTTTTGTCCAAATCTCTGATTTGATTGATTTGGAGCTAGTTTTAGGATTGTTTGGGTGCAAGATCAAGATGACTATCGCCTGTTTTCATATAAATGGGTTTAAATAGTTTTTCATTTTCCAGCCAAACTTGTTCTGTCTTAATGTATTTACTTTTAGGTTGAAATAGGCATGTCTATGAGTGTAAAAATGACTGTGTTGTGTACTCATCTGCTATGTCTCTTTGAATATGTGGATTCGTGTGTCTTTAACGGCCCAAAGCATTTGCTTGGTGTGTGGGAAATTTTCCTCAACTCTTAATTGTGTTAAGTAAAACAATATATTGATGTTCGATTAGGATTGCTTGTGGTGCTTTGTTTGTAAGAACTCAGGGTATCTCCAACCAAAAACTCTATTTTTAGAGTTTCTAAAGTGAAATTACACTAATTTCACTAGTTTTACAGTTTCAACCCAACAACTCCAACCCATTCCCTTTATAATTCCTCTCTAAAATAATATTCCTAGCATATTCTTTTCTAATTTTATTAGTTTGTTAACAGTCTTTACAAATTACATTTAATGCATTACGCTTGCATAAAATTTACATATTTATGTATATATATATATTAATTATTGATTAATTTATTTATTAATTTTAATTTTAACTTGTTTGTTTGTAATATTTATTTAAGTGAGTTTAAATACTAATTAAAATGCTGATTAAATTATAAAATATTAAGTTGCAATAATTAAGTTTAAAATTTTGATAAAATATTTTAATTTGATCCATAAAACTAATTAAATTATAAAAAATATAAAAAATAATCCAACTCATCTAGCCCAATTTAATCCATAATTCTAGCCCAATTGTAGTTACCAAAAAATTCATGGCCCGAAATTTGCCAACCCAACTCATTTTTTACTTTAAAAAAAATAATAATAAAAAAAAAGAGAAAAAAAACAAGAGGGGTGAACAGTGGAACGGTGGGGAAGCCGTTACGAAAACCTCTCCGCCTGAAATAGTGGAGTGGAGAGAGTTGCATTGGAGCAAGATTTTCTCCATAGATGCAGTTTCCGCTGATTTTAGAGGTGGGTTGGAGATGCTTTAAGTTTTATTCAGGGAGTGCCTTTTTAAACAACAAACATTGTTTGATGTCTGTTTACAGTTGGTATTTGATTCAAATTCTAACTATATGTACAACTTTACTACGTTGGATTGTGAAATTCTAATGAGGAATGATAATATTTAAGCAAACAACTCTCTTCATGCATACTTCAGCAATTGGACTTTTTTCTTGGGAATTCTAGAGTGTTGATTACAAATATGGGTTAATCTCAAAATTTTCAAGCACATTTGGAAAATTCTTTATCTCACAGGGTTAATGAGAGTTTGTTTGTTGATTTCACAATTGCAATGAGTGAAGGGCTATTTGAGGATTTCTTTATCTGACCGGGTTAATGGGCGTTTATTTGTTAGTATCACAATTGTGATGGTATCTAAAAGATGCTTCGTGTTGGATATTTAAAGAACATTAGTGCTTTATTTGCTTCTCAAGTTGAAGGTGTTGGATATTTAAAGAACATTAGTGCTTTATTTGCTTCTCAAGTTGAAGAATAACGCGTACGTGTTAGTGCCTTATTATTGCAAAACACATTTCCATTTCTTTTCTTTTTTGGTTGGCAATGTTCTTGTATTGGAATCCATTCTGTATTTTCGGAGCTCTATTATCGATGTATGTATCGTAACCATCTCGTGAGGATTCGAAGTTTCTATATGATTAATTATCTTTTACTTATTTCCTTTCTTTCTTTGATAGTTTTTACTCGTTGACTTCAAAATTACG